GTATCCATAGTACAAATATTTTTCTAGAGTTTTGGTTCAGCGTGGATTGTGTGGTAGGTCGCAAGGTAACGTCCAAGAGAATTGGATGCCCCATTATGGAGTTAGCTCCGGCGTGCTTGGATTGAAGAGTGTGTCCTCAAAACTGCTGTCGGGAACTTCCTCAAGCCGTGTGAAAATTGCTTTGATGCACACCTACAGACAAATTGGTGTGTTTTTAGGCACCAATATGAAAATAAAGGTCTCTGATAAGCAGAAAAAAAGAAGTAAATAATCCTAGCAAGACGTTGAAGTTAAAGGCTTGTTTATATATGTGAGGTAAACTGTACGAAAAAGAAGAGATATAGAGCGCAAAGAGAGAGGATGGGCAAAGAGAAGAGGGAACCAGAGAGCAGAGACATTCCGCTAGATAGATCGCCACACAGCGGGAGTCGGTTAGCGTTCTGGTAAAGCGCCCTTGTCGCACACATCGAGCTACGAGAACTGCACCTATATGGCCTTCGGAGTGGATAGCGCTATCCTAATAGCCGCGAGGATGTTTCATTACGGCTCATTTTTGGGTTGCCTAAAAAGGTTGGCTAATAAACGCACGTGATATAACACCGCTTCTTCTAATGAACCTTTACTGATCTTATGATTGTCCAATTCCCTTTGAGACGAAGGGTCCGTCCCTACCGCACTGCATTCGAGGAATTTCAATTGGCCTGCAGCAATGCAGCCATTGGCAATGCACAGGAGAGAGTTTAGACCCCTCACAGACTAGCAGTTCCATGGGGTGGTACACCAATCGCAGCATTCTCTGCGGGTGGGCCCGAGATTAATCGGTGATATGGGTGATCGCATTTTCACAGTGATAGTGCAAGAATTAAACAGTTTGTGATGAGATGTTGATGTAAAGCATGGCACATAAATAGGACGAGAAATTCTAGAGAAAATGCTTCCAACATCTGTCTTCGCCTCGTGTTCTTCTGTGTTCTGGGCATGAACATTGCATCCCACGTTCTATGTGATCCACCCATGTGGGTTCGGCTACTTCTCTCCTATGGAAGGCGAAAACCTGGCATTTTGCTTCACCCGCTTGGGAGCTCTGGGTTTTTAAGCTCTGGTTTGGTTTTCTGATCGTAGTACTATTAGAGTACTTCCTTCTTCTACCACTTGATCTGCCTCCGTCTCCCGGAAGGCTCTGACTTGGAAACTAGGGAGGTAACATGCTTACTTATGAGCTAAAGGCAAATCATGGTGCGGTGGAAGCTAGACAAAGTTTAAGAGGCTTCACGCAGTATCTTCTATAAAACTGTTGTTCTTATGTTTGCTTAAAGCAAGCAATGAATCAAACTATTCAAATTATTGAATTTTTTGAGAACAGTCTGTGTTCAAACCTGTTTTGTGTTTTTAGACGGGTTCTAGGCTCACTGTATGAGCTAGACTCGAGCCTCATGCTACTTTCATCTTTCACCAATGTTTACAACTTGACTGAAGAAGTCAGTGATACAGTGAAGTGTTCCTGCCTTTGAAAGAATATCAAAATTGCGTTGGAGGACGCCGCTCCATAGTGGTCTGCGCCTTTACTGCAGAAGGTCTCTCTAGTAGTAACAGTGAGAACTGTCATAACAGGCTTATTCCAATAAAGTATTCTATTTGTCTATTAATTTATGCGTTTGATGACGCACCAATTATAACCGGGAGGTGTAACCTGGGAAACCTCTAATCATAGGCCAACTTTTTGAGTAGGATCAGTTAAGAACCTTGAAACCGAAAACTCGATTGAATTCTATGCACGTGGTCGGTGATCCACCCACTCTGAAGCTCCTCCCCTGCCCCATCCCCTCTCTCGTTAGGCATACGCAAAAGTTCCCTGCCCTTAGCCAATATCGCTTCTCTTCTCCATTCTAGGCTGATTCAGGCGATCCTTATCAAACCACTATCATATTTTAAATGAAAGTTTTATCGAAGTTCTCCTTTCCAGCTTTATCATATCCTTCTTTTGATCCCTATCATCAGGGCCGTGGAGTACTGTACCCTTCCTCGTTGACGGCTTTTTTATTGTTTATTGCTTATTTATAACGCTGTGCTTAAGGCAAACGCAAGAAAGACGAATTTATTCAACTCGCAACTGTGATTATCAGAAAGCAGTGTTCACTGAGAACTCAGCAATTCCTTCCTACTTAGGCGCTTGAAAAGCCGGAAGGCTGGAGAAGCTTTCACTACTGTAGCCTTAAGAGATGTGAATTTTCACTATATTCTCTTTTCAGATGGGAGAT